AAATATTTTCTTTCAGACCATTTTTATATAAATCTCTCAGTTCTATTCGACTTAGCTGTGGTAGTCAACCTCCAGATGGCTCTTCATGGTCTCTGCCTCTCGGTATTCACAGCCTGCTGTGCAGTCCCTTCTCATATGGTACCGGGGCTGCGTGGCCAGCAGACTACAGAGGTACAGCAGACGTGACAGCGTGTCACTTCTGAGTTTAGGTTATAAAACACTGAAGCTTCCATCTCTGGTGGTCTCCTTTGGGATCCCTTGCTCTGGGGGAGCAAGCCAGAGGCTACATGGTAAGGGTACGGAGCCTGCACAGAAGGCCGTGTGGTGAAGAACTGGGGCGCATGGACAATGATCAATGAGGAATGGAGGCCTGCCAGCGACACTGCAGCTTGTCTGCAGGCCTCGAGACGGCAGTAGCTCCAGCGGACAGTCTGTCTGCCACCTTAAGAGAGACCCTAAGCCAGAACCTTGAGCCAAATTCTCCTGGACTCCTAAACCTCAGACTCCTCCTTGAGACAGTAAGTGTTGTGTTTTAAGCCCAAGTTTTGGGGTATTTGCTATGGAGCACTAGCGAGTGTATCTTTTTTTCTTTGCACTGTTACTGATCCTGATGGGTTTCCAATTATTGCAGCACTAGCTGTCAGGCTCCGGCTTGTCAGTGTTTACACCACGCTCTCTACCGCTTCCCCTGCAATTCCTTCTCCCATCATCCCAGCAGGAAGTGACCGCTCCTTCCTCTAATCCCGTGCCACAGCATTTGTCTATGTACCTTTCCTTTCATTCATTTATCAAACTTTTACTGCAGGCTCTGAAGAAATGAGTGTAAGACAAAACCCTTACCCTCAGGAAGCTTACAATCTAGTAGAGAAGTTAGGAAAGGACAAAGCAATACAGAATACAGGACAGTTCAAGGAAGCTACTGGTGGAAGAAGCTAGTGGCGGGTGGGGTGGGGGGTGGGAGCAGGAGTTGGGCAAAGCCTCACCGAGGGGTGGGTGAGCTGCGTCTCACTGAAGGATGGTGGGAGTACGCCAAGCATTTCCTGGCAATTTAGCCACGAACACTTGACCAAGTCCCTGCCCTGGAGAAATTCACATGGGGGGCGGGGAGGGGTAGTTTTAAAAGAGCAAAGAGAAGAATAAATTGTAATAAATAGGAAGAAGGAAACCAAACAGGAAACTTAGAGAAACATAGCAGAGATTGATTTTCAATAAAGTGGTTAAGGGAAGTCTCTTGAGCACTTGACAATGTAAAGCTCACAGAATGTGAAAGAAAACCCCAGTGTGTGTTGAACGAGTGTGGTTGCACACACAAGGTTTTGTCTTGGGGAGAGACCAGCACTCCAGGCAGAGAAGACAGAACACATAAAGGCCCCGGAGTGAGTGAGACAGTGCTGACATGTTTAACAGAGAGGCCAGGTGGCCGGAAAGAAGTGCTGACAAGGCCAAGTGCTGAGAGAGGCGGATGAATCTGCAGGGGCCAGATCAGGGCCTTGGAGGCCATGCTGGGGAGAACAGTCTGGCTGAGAGGGGACTGATTCACAGTAGGAGAGACAGGGTGGGAGAGAGAAACAACTTCCGAATGTGAGAGGGGAGGCAGATCCTGAGCACAAGTGAAGAAACTGGGCTTCTGCCATCTTGAAAAATGAGAAGATGGGTTCATGTTTCAGCAGCCTTTAGGTTTTGCGGTAGGACGGCAAGTAAGTTCATATCTGATACCTTCTATTTTCTTAAGTATAAACAAAGTCATCGGCTGAGGAGCGATGTGGGGACAGGGTACAAGGGGCTTGAAAAAATAATAAAAGGTATAAACTAGTCATCTCAGGGAGTGGGACAGTAAGGTACTGGGGAAACACGGGATGGTTGTTGGGCAGTGTTGTGTCGATTTGAGGTTGAAATCTTGAATATGAAGTGAGGCTGCTCAGTGCAGTTCCATAATTTTCTCTAGGAATGCAGCTCAGTGCAATCACAAAAACGATGGGTTCACTTGGGGTTTTTGCTAGGCCAACTATCTTTGTAAGTTAGGTCAACCTTAAGAAGAATTGTTTTGGGGCGCCTGGGTGGCTCAGTCGGTTAAGCCTCCGACTTCGGCTCAGGTCATGATCTCACGTTTGTGGGCTCTAGCCCCGCATCAGGCTCTGTGCTGACAGCCAGCTCAGAGCCTGGAGCCTGTTTCGGATTCTGTGTCTCCCTCTCTCTCTGACCCTCCCCTGCTCACGCTGTCTCTCTCTCTCTTTCAGAAATAAATAAAACATTAAAAAAATATATAAAAAAAAAAAGAATTGTTTTAATAGGTTGAGTGTAGAAGCCAGATCTCAGTGGGTTAAGAAGTGACTAAAACTTAGAGACAGAGAATTCTAAAGACTCTTTCAATAGTGTGGCTATGAAGGGCCCGATAGGGAAACCAAAGGGAAAACTGGTTCTTTCAGAGTTTTCTTTACATGCTAAAAATCTGTATTAACCAGTTTTCCCTTCATGCTACAAGGTAAAATTAGGGAAGAGGGAGAGATGAGCACCAAAGGAAAGCAAAATCCTTACTAATAGGTCAATCTTTGCAGAGACAGAGCAGCTGGAATTAGACCAGGGAAATATTTATCTTAGGAGGAAGAAGAAAACTCAGAAAAATACGTAATAATATGATTAATAACAAAAATTGTTAATGTTTATGGAATACTTATTTTATGCCAGGTAGTATTCTAAAAGCTTTATATGTACAACTTAACTTTATCCTTGTAATAGCTTTGTTACTCTAAGAAAGATGGAGGCACCTGGGTGGCTCAGTTGGTTGAGGTCTGACTCTTGATTTTGGCCCAGGTCATGATCCCAGGTTTGTGGGATTGTGCCCCCGTGGAGGCTGCTTCACATTCATTTTCTCTCTCTCTCTCTCTCTCTCTCTCTCTCAAGTCCTCTGCCCCTCCCCCACTCACTTGCTCTCTAAAAAAAAAAAAAAAAAGATTAATGCATCCAAGACTGCCCACGTGGCAACTGGCAGAACCCCGATTTTCGCTAGCAGTCAGATTCTAGATGTCTTGTGCTTAATCTTTACAATGTAATGTATATGTAAGAGGGAACAGGAAGAAATTGAAGTTAAGATGTTCACAACTAATAGCTTCACCTTCTTTTGTCATTCTGGAGGCAAAGTCATCCTCAGAGCAGGTTTGGGGGAAAGGATGAGGGGAGACGGTGAGGTATGGGGATAGTCACTTAAGGGAACGCGAAGGGAAGCTCCTCAGGGGGTCCCCAGGAGGTGTCCAGGACCCAGCCGCAGCAGGACACAAGAATATTTGTAGAGACACAAATGTATATAGTTGAGGGACACTCCCTCAACACCCAACTCCCTTAGGGGTCTGCATGGGAGGCATTTAAGTCAAGGCAATTATTTATAAGACTGTATGGTGGATCGTCTGGTGGAGGCTGCACAGAGGGAAGTGTATGAGTAAAAAAAGAAAAGTCCTTCACCCAAAAAAGCGCGGGGTACAGGGGCAGTGGTTGGCGAGGGAAGGATATGGCCATGGAAATGGGTTGCTAGAGTGGATGGGAGGGGTAAAGATGAACAGAACTGATCAGGTCAAAGAAAATAGAGAGAAGGGTACTGAAAGCCCTTGTGTTATCATAATATCAAAGAACAAATATTTACTCAGGGTTCATATATATAGCACACTGTGAGAGGTAAGGTAAAATTAAAAAATAGATGTAGTTCTTGGTTTATTTCCCAGCTAAGCATAGCTGCCTACAAAGTAGGGAACATGCTCTTGATATATACCTACCATAGTGCTTTGCTCAATAAACACTGTGAAGTAAGATCACATCTCCTACATTAAGAAAAGTCCTATATCAGAGGTTACATACTGGCGGCTCATGGACTGAATCAAGCTTACAGGAAGTGGCTTATTTAAATGCATATACAAATCTGTTGTGGGTAGTAGAGCTCTGGTAACCTGTCTGGTTACCAACTGACTGTTGGCTGTGTCTGGTTTGAGAGGTCTTGTTTGTTCTCAGATCCCTTGATAAAGGCTCTCTTTGATGCTCATTTAGACAGTATTTCACCAAGATTCACTTACTGGTGGCATGAACACACATGCTACTGAAGCATCTTAGCAACGATTCTACTAACAGGTTGCATCCCGCACTGTCCAGGCAAACCTGCCTAGCTATCTGTCCTGTATCCAGCATCTTCCCCCTTTCTAGGCAATTTTCACAGTCGTCTTTGCTAAGCTGGGGAGTTACTTATTCACACAAGAATATTCTCAAGTATTTCACAATAAAACCTCCCACGTTATGACTTTTTAAATTGGGACCTTCAGTCCTAAGAAAGAATAACAGGAAGAATAAGGGGGATAATTTTAGGGAGCTATCCCTGCCTCTTAAGCAGGGCTTCTCACGCTGTATTGTAATTATTTATTCGTCCAGTTTTCCTCCAGACCCCAGGCTATTCGTCTTAATCCTCGCTGTATCCATGGACACATAGGTATTGCATAAAACTGTTGGTGTGTATACCCAGTAAATGAAAGGCAGGTGCAGCCCGAGGGTGGATGTTCCTTTGACTTCATTCCATAATCACTCTACACTGAGGCAGGCAGAGGGAACTATTGAAGCACAGCCCCGGTTTGGCCACCGTCTCCCAGGCGCCTACTGCCTGCCAAACGTCGGGCTGGGCTCCAGGGCTCAGAAAATAAGCTCGAGAGTAGTCTTAACTCCATTTCCACGCCAGCGCCTCCTGCTGCCTTGTTTGGCCTATATTCCCGGTAAGTTGTTTCAAAACACACTCAAGAAGCGCAGCGCTCTCCTCCGTTACTTTCCTTTTTTCAGCTTTTGGCGCCCAGAGCCCGCCATCGGAGCTCAGTCCCGGAACAGGGACTGCCGTGGCCTCGAATCGGCCTGCGGAGCCAAGGCTGAGGGTGGCAGCGGTCGCGTCCACACGGGTCCCAGGCCCCGCGCCCGCCACCGCATGCCACCTGCGCCTCACGTCCGGGCAAACGGGGCACCCGCGGCCCCGCCCCTACCTTAGCGCCGCAGCGCTGCGAGCAGCAGTCTCCCTCCGGAGTGTGACAGCCCGACATGACCTGGATGAGGGGAACCCACGGCCTCCTGTCTCCGAGCGGCTTCGGGACCCGAGCTCGGTCTGGGCGAAGATCAGTCTTTCGCGTGGCCACAGCAGCAATCGGGCGGCGCTGAGGGCAGCTCGGGGGCGGGGCGAAAAGGCTGAAGGCGGGTCTGGGAGGGCCTGGCGGACACGAGACCCAGAGGCGCGCAGCCTGGCTGAGGGGCGGGGCCGGCGAGGTTGGAGGCGGGACTTGGAGAATCTTGATTCACAGACTCAAATGGCCCCACGGGAGCTAGGGGGTGTGGCCAATGTGACAGAAGGCGGAGCTTGGGAGGGTCTTGATGATTGGGCGATCAGGCGGTTCTGCGGGCAGCCGGCGACAAGGCCGGGAAGATGGCGGCCTCCTGGAGGCTAGGCTGTGACCCTCGGGTACTGCGCTACCTCTTGGGCTTCGGCGGCTGCCGAAGACTCGGGATGGTGAGGGGTGCTTCCGGATGGTCTTTCGGCCGCGGAGCTAGTTGGAGATGGGTTCACAGCACGCAGTGGCTGCGGGGTGAGTGGTCGGGGCTTGCTCAGCCTCTCCGTGTAGCTGAGTAATGGGCCTGGGTCAGGGGCTTTTGGATTCAAGGCCCATATCGGTGTGGAAGTGCCCGGGGCTCCCGGTTCCTGAGGCCTTTACTCGGGAAGAGGTCCGCTGACTTGGCCTAGTGCATGCCGCTAAGGGTTTTCTTGGGAGCTGGGAGAACTTGACTCCATTCCTGGGCCCCTGGTTAGTGTGGCTTCTCTGTGACCTTGCCTTGGAATTTGGGCTCTTTGTGACGCGCGGAGAGAGGTCCTAAACGCTCTTCTTTCAAGCCATTTCCCAGTCTCATGTGCCCCTAGAGCTGTCAAGGTGCCGATGGTTGCTGAGATTCAAGCCGCTGCAGCCATTCTTACTCATTCTCTTGGCCCGTCTCTATCTTTTCTTCGAGGCCTCTCGGTTGCCCCGCGCGACCAGCGAAAGACTTAATTTGTTATTACCTATGACATCACAGACATAGATCCAGAAGAATGTTTTAAGCAGAATAAGCGCTTGACAGAGTGAAAATTTAGGAGGTGAATCATACCAAGAAGTTATTATAGAAAGTTGGCATTAAGTAATGCCATTAACAACACAGTATTTTTAGTATTTAATAGGATGTAATATAGTATGCTGAGCATTATTTTTCTTTACATGAGGGTTGGGGGAATGTGGCTGTTTTGAGTGTGATGTGTTATTTCCTGCCAATCATCGATACTTCACAGTCTTAATTTTGATATAAAAGATTAAGGGTAGTAGGCATTGCTTACGTATTCTGCCTGAGCTACCTAAGACTGAGGGGAAAAAAAAATAAGTTACACAGAGTCACACAGTAAGATGAATGCACTGAGATTTTAAGATTTGGTAATGGAACTATTTCAGTTTCTTCAGTTGACTATTTCATAAAATTCCTCTTACAGAATTCCCTGTTTTCCCTTTCTCCATTTTGTGAAATATTGAACTTTCCTCTAGTTCTCAGATATTCTGTCTGGGATGAAGCTCAAGTTTTGATATTTTATGGTGGTGTTTGATGGGCTACACTTTGAGACTCACTACCTTAGAAAACCATGAAATAGTAAAAGCTCAGTGTTGGAAATAATTTAGGAAGAGTATTCTTTTGTTTCTGATTTTTATTTAAATTCTAGTGAAAATGAAGTGTAATATTGGTTTCAAGAATAGAATTTAGTGATTTATCACTTAGATGTAACACTCAGTGCTCCTCATAACAAGTGTCCTCCTTAATGCCCGTCACCCATTTAGTGCATCCCCCTCTATCAACCCTCAGTTTGTTCTCTATAGTTAAGAGTCTCTTATGATTTGCTTCCCTCTCTCCTTTTTTTTCTTCCCATGTTCATCTGTTTTGATTCTTAAATTCCACATATAAGTGAAATCTTATGGTATTTGCCTTTCTCTGACTGACTTAATACTTAAGTTATATATACTTATTTCACTTAACATAATACTCTCTAACTCTATCCATGTTGTTGCAAATGGCAAGATTTCATTCTTTTTGATGGCTGAGTAATAGTCTACTGTTCATGCATGCGTGTGTGTGTGTGTACACACTTTATCCATTCATCAATTGATGGACACTTGGGCTCTTTCTATAATTTGGCCATTGTTGATAATGCTGCAGTAAACATCAGGGTGCATATGCCCCTTTAAATCTGTATTTTTGTATCCTTTGGGTAAATACTTAGTAGTGCAGTTGCCGGATTGTGGGGTAGTTTTATATTTAACTTTTTGAGGAATCTCCATACTGTACCAGTGGGCTTTAGAAAGAATGCTCTTAACCTGGTTTGGAAAACAGAATCTTTTTTTTTAATGTTTATTTATTTATTTTTGAGAGAGAGAGAGAGAGAGAGAGAGAGAGAGAATGAATCCCAAGCAGGCTCTGCACTGAACTGAACACGGGGCTCGAGTTCACAAACTGTGAGATCATGACCTGAGCTGAAACCAAAGAGTTGAAGGCTTAACTGACTGAACCACCCAGGCGCCCCAGAAAACAGATTCTTTAGAATTAGAATTCTTTGAATGCTTTAGACGCTCTCTACAGAGAAAGAATGTATGTGGCTACAGACAAAAAGGTGCATGCAGCTTAAGAGTTTTTTTTTTAGACCCCGTTTAAGGACTTCTGCCTCTGGAAACTCACTTAGGCAATCCTCATCTGATGCCTCATGACATTTTACCTACTCCCCTGCACACCATGAACGATTTGTCTCATGTGGCCTGAACGTCATCTGTAAGAGGGAGAACACTGTATTCCACGGAAGCTGTCTTAAGTTTCCAAGTTCCTCCTCCTTTCATGTATAAAGACTCTGGTGATTATATTGGGCCAGGATTCTTTCCCCATCTCATTGTGAGCTGTTTAGCAACTTTAATTCCTTCTTCAACCTTAATTCCCCCTTCGCCATGTAACAAAACGTATTCACAGGTTCTGGACATTAGGACGTGGGATATCTTGGAGGAGTGGGGGATGGGAGGCAGGGTGCTTATTCCGCTTACCCCAGTGGCTGACTGTGTTGTTGGGTGGCTTGAAGTTATTTGGAAATCTTGGGGTTTTTATTTGCTAATATACTGAGCTAAAGTTTGTCTCCTAATTTTCCACATCCAGGTTTTTGTTTTGTCATGGTGAAAATGGGTGGCAGTCCTTGAACTATTTGTCTTACAGAGCATGAATTACACGGTGTTGGCTTGTTTTTCTCCAAGCTTGGTAGAAATTGTAATTTCATAAAACTGAACAACTACTTTGTAATCTATAGACTATATAAATTAAGTACACTTACTGAGTAATTTCTGTTTTCATGCATCTATCCAGGATCTTAAAGTCTGTCCGTGGGAGTCATACTTGGAGTAATGGTGTCCTTAAGTGGTGTTTGTTGTCGACATTTTTATGAGCAATGACATGTGTCCCATGCTTAGCACCATCTATGAATTAGGAAGTGACCCTCATCAGCCACCATACCACATCTGCCAGCATCATGATCTTGCACTTCCAGCCTCCAGAACTGTGAGAAATAAATGTTGTTTGTAAGCCACTGCCTCAGGTATTTTATTACAGCTGTCCAAGACACTGGGCGATGGAGTCACTAACTCAGAGCACATGTTCACAAGAAAGGTACACAGTTGAACAAGATTGGGTCTCTGCCAGCAGGAAAGAAGTCGGGGAAGTGGGTTTGAGTATAACAAGTAGCACTGAGAGCTTACTGTGTACCATGCCCCCTCCTCAGCACTTTACATGACTTAATTCACGTAATACTCACAGTGGCTAATGCTGTCCTCTGGTGATAGAACCCCAGTTTCCACCCGGCTCTGCCTGATGCCAGAGCCTGTTTCCTTAACAACAGTCCACCTTGGTGTCAGGTGGTGGCCTGGCCGTAGCCGTCCACAAAACAACGTCATAGATGCCGAAGCTCTGTTCACCATGTTTATATCCTGTGTGAACCCCTACACTTTTTTTTTTTAATGAAGTGAGACCTATTTTAGTAATACCTACATTATGAAATAGTATTTCAGTGATAGTCTTGATATCATAATTCTTTTTAGAACCGTTTAACAGTTACAATTCTAGACTGACTGTATAAAGGGTGGCAGAACCCTTTAAGAAAGTTAGAGTATATGTTAATGTCTTCCTATCTGCAGGTTTCTAATTGATACACACTTGACCCTTGAACAACATGGAGGTTAGAGGCATTGACCCCTCTCACCAGCGTAGTCGACAATCCATGTATAATTTTTGACTGCCCCAGACTTTAAGTACAAGTAGCCTGCTGTTGACCAGAAGCCTTACCGATAACATAAACAGTCAATGAACACATATTTTGTGTGTTATACGTATCATAGACTGTGTTCTTATATACATAACTTTTTCTTAAAATTTTTTGTATTTCTAGGCTATGTGGTTTGTGAGTTCTAAATTGTTGCAGATCTCCAAAAAATTTCCCAATATATTTATTTTTTAAAAATCTGCATGTAAGTGGACCTATAGATTTCAAACACATGTTGTTCAAGGGTAAACTGTCCTTTTGAATGTGTCTTGTTAACTTCTTGAGCTTCATTTGCCTTTTACAGGCAATGCATAAGTCCCCAGACTTATGCATGTGTTCATTTTTTTGCTAGCCTCTTAAGTCGTGATTTCTTTTTGTCCGGTTCCAAGATTGCAAAATAAATGGATTCAAGTAGAATTTTAATTTTATAATTTAATAACAAGAAGACCAGTATTGCAAGCTGAAACCTCTTCTATTGTGTGCGGTTTCTCCCACTCAGAGAAAGTATTTCCATAGCCGTGGAGTACCTACAATCCTGGCCAGCCTCCTTACAGATGCACCATTGGATACTAAGTGTATGAAAGAATTAGCAGATTCCTTAAACAAAATGGAGGGAATGGTGATTTTATTTTATTTTGTTTTTGTACTTGGTAGGCAGTACATTTACTATAGCTAGTGATCTACTCAATATTTTGCTGCAATCAAAGGCTTTCTTGTATATTACATGAAAATTTTGGGGGAAGAATTAAGGTTGGCACATTTCAGGAGAGCTTCCTTGGGATTCTACTAGTGCTAGGTTTTACGGGGGGACACAAATCTGTTTGAAAACTGATAAAAGTTATACCACTTCTTCAGAAAAATGTGTACATGGCAAAATTTTCTATGTAGTTTCCAGAAACTTGTGGATCTCCCTGTAATTTATCTATAAACACCACTTAGTCTCCAGCCTATTTCCATAAACATGTCAGTCATTTCCTACAGAAAATAGTGCTATTTTGCAAGGATACTTACCATATCTGAGAACAAGAATTGTATGTTTTTGTATAGGGGTTCCCATTATCAATAAATGGCTAGTGAATACATTTATATAGAGCCAGTAATTTGGAAATCTTGATTCGTACTATTTCTTCAAATGGCGTGACCTCTGTGGTTTGAAATTTTTCTAATTAAATGTTATTCTCGTAAGTCTTCTGTAAGGCCCTGCAGGGAATAGATGGCACTGTAAAA